CGGGAGCTATACCATTATTACAAGGAGCTGCGTAATTTTCTGCCGTGCACTGCGTTTGTAGCGGACCGAGCCGGAAATTCTCTCTACGCAACACGCGAAGGGTTTACAAATCGAACGTTTAAAATGCACGTTTTTGCACGTTTCGTTTAATTTTAGAGAAAAATTTATGCACAAATTTCATCGGTTTCCATTGGTTTTCGCGTGTTACGCGCGCCTGTTTAATAGTTGCTGAAAAAATTAATTTTTCATTTTCCTATCTTAATCAATGTATTTTAAATAACATTAAAACTCAACGCTATTATTGTTTATCGTTATTTCTTATCGTCTATTATTCGTTTAACGACGACGGCGCGATTCGCAATTTAATAATCTCAATCTTTTCTGTGCGTATTAATAATGTAAACATTATATGTTTTTTTCAATAATAAACTCTAAATAATTTATTTGCATATTTTTTACAATTTTTTTCGCGATTATTTTATAATTTTTTTCGTGCACATTTAAACATTTCTTAGCTCCTGTGACTTCCGGGCCCCGGACATATTGGACAGCGTATCGTAACATTATACGGGTACAGTAAAACTCGATCAAGGCCCGGCGTCCACCAAAGCAACGTGACCCGTGATATGACGACCGACGTTGTCGAGTGATTTAGCGAGTGGCGTGCCGTACTAGTTATTTGCCATTACGTGCATACAAAAATCATTCACGCCCGCGCACTGATCAAACCTGTCGGATCGTGTAACGGTTTTGTGCAACTTCTGAAATTTTGTTGACGACAAAAGTACTGCCACGTTCTACTTTTGTCACTTGTTCGTCGGCCCTCCGCCGTGGAAAGGTACGCGTTATTATAATTATAATAACGTGATACAGAAAACATACAGGGTCATGCTGACGGGGACGGGGTTAGGGGGTTCAACCGCCATACCCCCTCATGGACACTTTACAGATATATTTACTTAACGTGTGATTACAATAGTTTATTGGGAAAAAATCTAGTTTAACGTCCACTCGAATTTTTCAATTTTTTTTTTTTTTTTTTTTTGTTTTAACGTACCCACCCTTGTTACGCCTCCGACTTGTACTTGTGTACTCGTGTACTTGTATATAGTACTTGTGTATATATATATATATATATTGAGTTGTATGCAATAGCAACGTATTATTTCGAGAAATGAATAGAGCAAAGTAAACAGTTTTCAAGTAACATAAATAATCACGGCATTTGCATTAAAACAACAAAACTCATTTGTCACGTCGCTCATCGTATCACCAGTCATGAGTCACGAGTCACGTTTGTCACTTTGGTGGACGCCGGGCCTAAAACGTTTCCCCGCATAATACCATCTGTTTTCCGCCGGTCCCTAAACATCTCCTACGTTAATCAATGTAAAAACCATCATCCGATAAGA